CATAATTTTCATCACATAGTTGTAAATACAAACTAAAGTTTGGGTTGGGATAATCACTAGCCAAGGGATAATAGTACCAATGATTAGAAATAAGATGTTTCCATCAGAGGAGACGGTTTAAAGAGAAATAGAAGGATGCAAGGTAACTGGCCTTTAAAGGGTGCCAACAATTACAGGCTAGGAACAGAACACAACATACTGGCATTGATGGAAGAGCTCTTTTGCTTATATCTTGGTAGCTAGAGCTGAAATGGACATACACCAGAGAGGCACTACGGGATACTGGACTATCATTCAAATTAAAGGTCACAACCCCTTAGTGGGGTATAAAAATCGATTTAGTATGTCCTACAGTGTAAGGTTATACGTTGTTTCATGAAACTTTTGTTCTAGATATTTAGAAATAAATGATGTGCGTGTGGAATTTTGATGAAAAAGTATTTCTGAGAGCCAACTAGGTTTGAACTTTGGTATAGTGGTTAACAGCACAAGCTCTGGAGCTCGCCTGTTGGAGTTTGGACTCTGCTTGAACTCTTCCCCTGGCTGTGTAACCCTAGGCAAGTTCCTTTTCTCTTTTCTTTCTTTTTTTTTTTTTGCACTTATTATTTTGAGACAATTATAGTTTCACATACAGTTGTAAGAATTAGAGAGATACTGTGTACCCTTAACCTAGCTCCCCCAAAGGTAACATCTTGAAAAACTAGAGTAACTTATCACAACCAGGATATGACACTGAACTGTATCACAAGGATCCCTCACTTTGACCTTTTACAGCCCACTAGCACCTCCCTCCTGTCTCCTACCCCCTTATAACCCATAGCAACTGCTAATCTGTTTTCCATTTCTGCAGTGCTGTCATTTCAAGAATGTTATATAAATGGAATCATACAGTATGTAACTTAAAAAATTTTTTTTTTTCACTCAGCATAGTTCATGAGGGATCCATTGAGGTTATCAATAGTTCATTCCTTTTTATTGCTGAGTAGTAGTCCACTGGGAAAGTTTATTAACTCTGTAGACCTTACTTCCTTCATCCATAAGATAATGATAGGGTTTTGAAGATTAAACAAGTTCATGTATGTTAAGCATTTAGAAATGCTTGGGATGTACTAAGAATAAAAAATTATGGGACTTCCCTGGTGGCACAGTGGTTAAGAATCTGCCTGCCAATTCAGGGGACACAGGTTCGAGCCCTGGTCTGGGAAGATCCCACATGCCGCAGAGCAACTAAGCCCATGTGCCACAACTACTGAGCCTGCGCTCTAGAGCCCACGAGCCTAGAGCCCATGCTCTGCAATAAGAGAAGCCACAGCAATGAGCAGCCTGTGCACTGCGACGAAGAGTAGCCCCCGCTCGCCACAACTAGAGAAAGCCCGCGCACAACAACAAAGACCCAACACAGCCAAAAATAAATAAATAAATAAATAATTTTTAAAAAGAATAAAAAATTGTTAGCTATCAAAATTATTATGGTCCTCCATAAGTAAGTTTAAAATTTTTATTTAATTTAATATAAACTTTCATTGAATGTCTATGTGATACAGTGCTAGATGCTAAGAAACTTTCTTAGATATGTTCCTTCCATTTTTCAGAACGGTGGACATCAAGTCTTAACTCACAAAATATATCAAGGAACCAGTAAGCCATCTTGATGAGGTATTATTTCATACAAGTTATATTATTTCCCTAATTCAAGTAATGTCCCAGCCACTCCAATGCTCAGAGAGATGAGTAATCTGGGCAACTGCAAGTTCACATAATCTGTTTAAAAGGTTTGTAGTAAGTACAGAAAGGAATTCAATATTTATTGAGAAGCTAAAGGTAGTAAACCATGTGCTTTTATTATTTCATTTAATCTTCATAATTTTCTAGTGAGTTTCAAAACTTTTAGACCCAAATTAATAGCATATAATGAGATGAGATGTGAGATAATTGATCAATGTTGTAAGCATGATACGATTCCACCCTCAGAAGGCATTTCATATTCTACCAGACGGGAGTTACAGACACATTGACTGTAAAACCAGCCATCACTGTAAGAAATCAGTTCACCAGAAAAACCTTCAATCTTGCCAAAATCAAAACAAAATAAAAGAAAAACCAAACCCCAAAGCTAACAGTTCAAATCTATGACCTCCTAGAGTTTGTTATTTTAAAAAGCAGATTTTCAGGAGGCTGGAAGCCAGTGTTAACACATTTCCTATTAAAAAGCCACCTCTTATGACACATCCATAACGACAGATAAGAAACAGAATGAAAACAGCTCAGCAGTGAAGATCTCCTGACAAGATCTGAGCCTACGTACATCAGCAGCTTTCTCCGGTTCTGACTGCAGGCTCCTCCCCAGACTCTGAGCTGCTCTGGGTATTACATGTGGATAATACTCCATAACTCATGTTCATTCTTGTTACAAGTACTCATTTACAAAAACTCTAAGTTATGTAAACAGTAAAATTCTAGCATTTCATATAACTGAAATGAGAAGAGGTGTAGAAAATTGTATAAAAAAGACAAGGATGAAATGACTCAAAAAAAGTTAACAAGTAAAAGCCATTTTCCTTCCCCCTTCCTTCCCCTTCTGACTTTCTTTTTTTAAGCTATATTCCAGAAAGACTTTTCTATAAATAAGTTCTTGGCCAACATTACCATATACCACTTTACTGGTAATCTACTAAGATCATCAAAGTAACACAATTTACATCTTCTTACATGCACCCCTATGTTCATAGCAGCACTATTTACAATAGTCGAGACATGGAAACAACCTAAATGTCCATCAACAGATGAATGGATAAAGAAGATGCGGCACATATATACAATGGAATACTATTCAGCCATAAAAAAGAACAAAATAATGCCATTTGCAGCAACATGGATGTAACTAGAGATTACCATACTAAGTGAAGTAAGTCAGAGAGAGAAAGACAAATACCATATGATATCACTTACATGTGGAATCTAAAATATGACACAAATGAACCTGTCTATGAAACAGAAACAGAATCAGGGACACAGAGAGCAGTCTGGTGGTTGCCAATGGGGAGGGGGTGTGGGGAGGAATGGAGTGGGAGTTTGGGATTAGCAGATGCAAACGGATATATAGAGAATGGATAAACAACAAGGTGCTACTGTATAGCACAGGGAACTACGTTCAATATCCTGTGATTAACCATAATGGAAAAAAATATGAAAAAGAATGTATATAAGTGTATAAGTGAGTCACTTGGCTGTACAGCAGTAATTAATACAACACTGTAATTCAACTATACTATAATAAAAAAATTCACACATCTTCTGGGGGTTTCCCTTTTTGATTTCACCTATGACACTCATTCACAAAAATTCCAGCAAAAAGAAATGAAAAGGAGGAGGCTGACTCTTATAGTAGGCTTGATTCTTGCAGTAGTACCTTGCATCAAAGAAACAGAATTTTGCCAGGGCTAAGTCATAGGGAAGAAGTTTCTAAGAAGGGCACAGATCTGTTGGCCTATATGCAGCATTTTTCTTTAGTACGTAGTCTATTAAAGGAATCAAAACCTTAAACCTATCTAGTGCCTGGTAAATAGTAATAATAATAATGATGATAATGGCAGCTAACATCGGTACTCACTGAATGAATCAACACTGTCCTCTTTTTTTTCTTGTCTATGAACTGTCAATCAACTAGACAATACTGATCTGCCTTTTCATCAAAATACATGTAACTAATTATATTAAAAGTAGAATCAAAGACGGAATAAAAAGATAGTTTGACTGTAGGAAAGGAGATGAAACTCAGGATAATTTACTCATTCAAAGTAAAGTGCTGAAGAAGAAACTATTGGGCATCACTGGAGAGAGAAAACTGCCTTAGTTTTTTGTCTGGTGTGACCAAATCTACGGAGGACAATACTGTCCTAAGTCTGATACGAATACCAAGGAGTTTAAGGCAATCTCTGCTCTCAAGGATTTTACACTTTAACTAGGAATGTAAACACACAAGAATTAGAGAACAAGTAAAAAGCCTTAGGCTCCAAGTTCTGCAGGATTTGAATGAATGGAGAAATGAACTGGGCCAAAGCTGTCAGGGAGCGCTTCACAGAGCTCTCATCTAGACTAAATGGGGATGTAGGGGGCACAGGGGGAGGGAGAAGGGAAGTAAATGCTCCGGGTGGGATGTCACAGGAACAACGCAGGAGAGGAGGCTGAGGTCAGCTCATGCAGTCAGTGAAAAGGCCAGTGTGGACAGAGTGGTGGGTGTGCGTGTGCTAGGAGAGTGTACACTGAAGCTGGGGGACTTGTAAGTGCCCAGCCAAAGTGGGAGAATGTAAAATGATAAAGTGGAGCCAAACTTCAACTTTTCTATCTTTATTATAAAATGTGTAAATCACCTTGAGATCCCTAAAGTTAGGTGCCAATTATAGAAGAAAGAATTATTGGTTTGGGGAACCTTCATACATTTGAACATATGTGCTACTTTTCAAGGTAATTCCACCAGAAAGGAATGCTATTACATGACCAAGCTCAAAATGACTTAATATTCTGGGAAATCTACAAATCAGAGCAACATTCCAGGTACTTGAAGTTCCTGGGATCTGTTTGTTTTTAAACTGCTTGTTCATGGTAATACATACATATATATTTCTTTTCATGAATAAAAAAATTTACATCTTCCTAACAAATGAAAAAACAGCCATAGAAAAATGATATAATCTTGAAATAAAGTCCCCTTTGAACATATTATTATCTTAAAGGAACAGCATAAATGTATATTAATCCCACTTTACTTGGAACCAGAAGGATAAAGATTTTTAAATGCAAGACTCTGAAAAGCTAATCCTGTACGAAGTACCTGCACGGAAAATCTGGCGAATACGCTTTTACTGCTCCAGTTACAGTCATGGGAAATAACACCTAAAGCGGACACTTCCTCTTATGGAAAACAATCAAAAGGTGGTTAGAAGATTAAAAAGAAAAAGAAAAAGAAAAAGAAAACTGAAAGATGCTGGTGTGGCACGCACCTTCTGTATCATCGCGCATTTGCTCCACCAAATCTGTCAAATCCTCCCAAGAGTCTTTGCAAACAGCAAAAAGAAAGGAAAAGAAAGATAAAATGTCATGCAAGCCAAGAAAGAAAAGTGTTATTAAAAACAAGGTTTCAAAAGGGATAACTGAAAGGGAGATGCCTAGAACTCTTTGGGTTAACTCAGAGATTAGCGGTGAAGAGCGCTGGGAACATACCCAAAGAGGAATGTGACACTAACCGAGCAGAAATATCAACTATGACTATTAAATAGGTCTCAAATTTAAGATTCATAATTTCAAGGCTTCTAATTTCACAGATCTTCTATGGGATCTGTATATCCCATAAATAACAGACTTTTTTTTCCCACTGAAAATCAAGATGAGACTCTGTATTCTAGTGTACACAACAGTGACCTCATTCAGTATTTCTTTTGATCCCTTCAGTGAGGCTAAAAAAACATGTGGAATGTTTTTTAGACTCAGGCCAAATATCATGATGCAAAACTAGTGACTTTTCCTAAAACAACCAAAGAATAACCTAAATACCTTTCCCGAGCCTTCCACCCAAACAGCTCTCCTTCCCCCAAACAAAAATAAAGGAAAAGTTGCTGTTTTGAAGATAAATCACTTATAATTCAATAAAGACAGATGTTTATTCAGTTAAAAGTATAGTACTCTCTCCCCGCTCTTACTATAAACAACTCAGTGTTCTTGTATACAGAATATTCCATGTGAGACAAAAGGACACAGATGTCAAGATTACAAATATAATAGATACTTTATTATAGTGTCTTCTAATAGTGTCTTAAAGCTGTAAGATCATTATCTGTTCTGAAATGAATTTTGAGAACCTATAGAAATTTTTAAAAAAATGGATTAGGTTCATCCTTCAGTAACTCTGAAACCATGGCATTATACACAACTGCAATATTCATAATTAAACTCACAAAATCATGTGAATTTTGTATGTGTAAATACGCAAATACAAACAAAGGTAAGGTCTCAGAGGATGAAGCATAACAGAAATGAGAAAATGGGTAAAGAATACTTTGCCCATGATAAGCCCTCTTTCTTGAAAAATTTATCATGGAAGCCAGCATAGGGTCTGAGCCATAACTTGGAGTAATGATCCAGAAAAAGAATTTATCATTTGTCCTACTCACTAGTTCATTATATTATCACTTTAATTAAACTGGTCAACTTTGGTTCTCACGTGGCACAGTGATTTTCAAGTGGAATGTAAGCATTCATTCTAGTGTCAAATATATATTCAGTTATCCTGTAAAGACATGCAAAAAACCCCACAACTATATAAAAAGTTAAAATTTAACTTCAGAAAACAGGGAAGCAGATGGGGATCTAGCAAAGTGATATGTGATTACAATGGAACTTTTTTGAAAACTACATATATAAAGATTATTGGTTAGGTCAGACACAAAGACAGGCAATATAAAAAGTAATATAAAAGGTAATATAAAAAGAATGCAAGTGCCTATACCCTATTACACTTGTACCGTTCCCCAATTCAAAAGTTTAGAAATTAATGACTTAGAAAACCAAGCACAGAAGTACAGCTCAGAGAACCAGGATTAAATTCCTAACTTCTGTCAACATCCCAAGCAAGTCACTTTATAAACAGAGGTAGGAGAACATGATAGTTCAGAGAACAGACTCAAGAGCTGGAACACCCGGGCCCAAGTCCCAGCTCCACCCCTTACTGTTTGTATGACCTTGGTCCAGGTACTTCATCTGTTTTTCCTCAGTCAGTTTCCTCATCTATCAACCATGGACAACAGGAGTACCTATCTTACAGCCCTGCTGCAAGGAGTAAAAAGAGTAAACACAGGTCCAAAATCTTTTATCTGAATATTTTCTGGCCAAAGGTATTCTGAAATGCAGAACTTAATTTTTTTTAGAAAGGTAAAACGGTATATACTGAGGCCAACATGTAGAACCTCAGCAGGGCCTGAGACAGCACTTCACAAGCAAGCACATCAGTATTTCTGCAGGAAACATATGGATATTCAAATTAAATAGGATAAAGACTATAAATAGCCTTAAGTAAATTCAGGTCATGTTTTAGCATCAAATGAGTTCAGGCAAATTTATGAAAAATGCTTTTGGTTTTAAGAGCTTTGTTTTGGATTTATGTCTAGAACACTTAGAAAGTATCTCTACAGAAAAAGCACAATATTATTATTTTACAATGAATTTGTGTTAAAATACATCATATATATATATTTGCATATATGATTTTCAAGTATAATCCTCTGAAAATATAATATGCTACAGATTTATATTATGTAGGATTATAGATTCATAAGAATATTCTTTTAATGATCATGTTAGTTTGCCATACAGACTTGCCATGTGACCTTGTGAAAATCCGTAAGGTGACTTCCTATTTTATTCTTCATTTCTTTAACTAAAAACTACATTTGTCACCTAATAAAAGTCTACTCTATTAAAGCAAAATATAAAGAAACTCCAAGATTTGTGCAAAGAAGAGCTCAGGAAAGTGAATTTCTAGGTGGAAATGGGTGTGGGTACAAGGGATCTCTCTGATTTTCCCCTTGGCATGGGCCACCTAGAGCACTTTTCTGTTCCAACCAGACATATTTTGTTTTGTTTCTAAAACAAAATTTAAAATTATGAGTGTCAGAGTGATGGAATCAATTTAAAAGAGCCCTCCTCCCCAGAAAGGTAAAAGGTATGTTTTCTCCTTTTAAAGTTGTTGCCCACTTTACCTTGGCATACTCACAGTTTTATTGTAATAAAGAATGGATACCATAATGCTCTTTTACAACCCCCAAAGAAGGATTTATAAAAGATTTTTTAAAATTGTGCCCTCTGGAATATGTTCAAATTATTAAAACAACAACAATGAAAACAAAAGTATCTAATACATGAATCAAAGAGGTGGGTGGCAGCATAACCAACTCTTGTCTCTATCCCAGAACATTTCCTTTTTCTAGGGATAATACTTTGCTGCTTTGGGCATGTTTCACCTGGTCTAAAAAGCTATATTACCTTTAACTTGTATCATAATACATATTCACAAATTGCAAAGAAGCATAATCTAAAGCCTTGCTGGTTGATACAAAAGATAGGTCTGGATTAAAATTTTGCTCTAGATAATGCATAGTTCAGAGCTGTAGCAATCAGAATTGTGCCAGATGTGCACTATAAATATTAAAGTGAATGGTAAAGGGGAGCTTCCAAAGTTACTCTGGCTAAACAGACAGCCTCAGTTCACTCAAAACACTGACTCATAAGGAAAGGAGTGCATACCTTATAAATGCCAAGTGGATTGTCACAGGGTGTGGTGCCATGAGACCAATGCAATGTCAAGACCACCACTCCACTCGAAACGCTTGGATTTAAAGCAGTTAAAAATGCTGCTCCTAACAGACTCTATCATCTTATTTTTAAGATGCATATGAACAAAGACATCTTTTAAAGTCAAGAGATAAGAGTCAGGCTGGAACTATAAAAAGGCCCTGAATTAGGAAGCATAGGTTATTTGAGGTTCACTGAACCATTTCCTGGCTAAACATGGAGATTAATTTACTTAGCTCTGGAAATATTTAATTAGGTGGTACTGTAAAATAGTTGTTCTTACGGTACATGGTGACTCAATGATGATGCAGTGTGGTCTGGTGAAAGAGGGCCTAGCTTTGACACTGGACCCTGCATAGCTACTTCTTTTTTCTCTCCATGAGGGAGAGCTGAAGCTCCATCCCTCCTGAGAAGCACTGGAATAGACTCAAAGTGCCTCTGCATTGTTTATGTACCCAGGCTCGTGAGATCTCTCTTCTTCTTGATATATTCTCTCTTCAGGAGTATTATGACTATAGACAAGGGAGTTGCAGTCAAGTTTAGAGACAAAAGCAACCAAGTTACACTGTCTCCTTGAGGCTAGGTGTCTTTGATTTACAGTATTACTTTTTAAAAGTTTACTAGAGTTTCTTGAGAGTTTCTTGAGGGGACAGCCTTCCTGAAGCCCCAACCACTGATCACAAATAACTCTGAAGGACTGTTGTGAAAGTAAATGTTAATTAATTTAAAGTACTTAGCAAATCACAGGTACTCAATGTCAACTTCACATTTATAAGAAACCAATATGTGCCTTGTATTTTGATTTGGCTACAAACTGGAGTCCTCTACGTATATTTTCCATAATTATTCAAAGGAAATAGAGGGAATGGGATTGGGAAAACTAACAAAGAAACAAACAAAAAAACTAAACTAACTATTAAACACAGGGAAAGAACATAAGTCAATGTAAGTAGACCAAAGAAAAATTTAGCAGCTGAGACACTATTAAACAATAATATAATTAGGTTGGTAACCTAATAATAAATATTAGCAGAGGAAATGTCAAGCTAACTTAAAAAAAATGCTAAGAGGTCCTGCTATAATAAACCAGTAATTTAGGCCAAGGTCTATCTTCTCCCCAAAGTATAATAAAAAACAAAAATATCTGCAAAGAAATACAAATGGTCCTAGAAAAGGTAATATTAAGTTACTGTGGGGCTTCCCTGGTGGCGCAGTGGTTGAGAGTCCGCCTGCCGATGCAGGGGACGCGGGTTCGAGCCCCGGTCCGGGAAAATCCCACATGCCGCAGAGAGGCCGGGCCCTTGAGCCATGGCCGCTGAGCCTGCGCGTCCGGAGCCTGTGCTCCGCAACGGGAGAGGCCGCAACAGCGAGAGGCCCGCGTACCGCAAAAAAAAAAAAAAGTTACTGTGACACTGTGATTTATAATAAGAAATATATCTCTGGTTTTCATGCCCAGTCCCTGACAGAGGTCTCCTGAAACCTTATAAATTCCTAAGTGCTAAGAACAGTAGGAGCATCTTTTGTCCTAATCAGGTTACTCTGGGTGGCTCCTGAATGGGATCTGGTTCCCATCATTAGAAGCTTGGAATTATCAGCAACACTCCCCCACCTCTCTGAAGAGACAAGAGGGGCTGAAAATGGAGTTAATAATTGGTTTTATCCACGTGAGGAAGCCTCCTTAAAATCCCAATAGTATGGGGTTCGAAAGCTTTCAGGTTTGTGAACACATTCACACACGGGGAGGGTGATGCATTCCAACTAGACAGGGACAGAAGCTCCTGCGCTCTGGGTCCTCCCAGACCTCACCCTACGTATCCCTTCATCTGGCTGTGCATCTGTTCCCTTTATCATATCCTCTAATAAACTGGCAAACGTAAGTTGTTTCCCTGAGTTCTGTGAGCTCTTTAGCAAATAACTGAATATAAGAGAGAGGTCATGGGAATCTGTGATTTGTAGCCCAGCCAGAGAGAAGTGGTGGGTGACCTGGGGCCCTACAACTTGCATTTGGCAGCTGAAGTGTTATGGTTGTGGGCTGGAAGGGAACAGTCTTGGGGGTCTGAGCCTTTGATCTGTGGGATCTGATGTTATCTCCAGGTAGACAGAGTCAGAAAGGAGTTAAATTGTGGGACACCCAGCTGGTGTCACAGAATTGCTTGGTATTGGGAAAAATCCCACACATTCGGTGACAAGAAGTGTCGGAAGTGAAGTGTTCTGGGTGAAAGTAAAAGAGAGACACAAGAGGAGGAATGCAGGTTTTTCCAATACAGTTATCAACATTTGAGCCGTTTAATATTTACTGAGCACGAATGGGGAGCAAAGGGCTTTACTAAGGCACTTAGGACAGTTAATCTGTATGGAAGAGACAAAGATGAAATATCCACAGACACTGCCCTTGAGGAGAACTATGTAACTATGACACAGGTAAAAAGGGATTGGTATTAGATAAAACAGATTCCTAAGTCAGGTGAGCAGCTAGGTGACACAGGGCCTGACGGGCAGTGAGGGGATGAAAAAAAGGGGCCTCCACTGCATCAGGAGACCTTTTGCCCTCTTGCCTGAATGGCTGCAATGGCAGAAAATAACGTCTCTGACTAACTGGACCTCAACTGGGTAGCTGCTGCCCATAAAAGAGGACACTGTGAAATTCACAGATAACACAGAGTACATCTCATACATACCCTAAGTTTTACAGCTCTTGGAGAAAGAAAAAGGAAATTCCAGCAGCCTTTTCATTGTAGAAAGTAAACCAGAGCAATCTTAGAGAAGTGTGAAATTTCTCACTGTACAATCAACAGTAAAACTCATTCTCTTCTGCTAGGACATTGTCACTAGCTCAAAGAACGCGCCCCCCGGCCCCGCAAAAAAAACCAGATAAAACATTATCATGCAGTTTGCAGCTGCTGAATCAACTGTCCTAAAACCCCACAACTGTTTCCTTTGAAAGTTCAGATTTTAATAGTGTGGGAAACCACAACCAACTGCAGTGGCAAAAGATAAAAATGAGTTGCAAAGAAGCAGCTAATATCAAAATTCATGACACCATGGCATTAAAAAATTTTTTTAATGTTTATTGCAGCTTGGAAATGTGTATAAAAAAAGTAAAATACATTACTATTTGACCCAGAAATTCCACTTCTAAAAATGAAATTGTTCAAGTGAAAAGTGTTCGATTTATAAACATAATGATGTACCAAAACTGTTTGGGGTAGCCTAATTTAGAAATAACCTAAATATCTATAATAAGGGAGTAAAGAAATTATGGCACATCCAAACAAGTGAAGACATTAAATGAGGCAGTAGAGATTTCTATTTACTGAAGTGGAGAGAAGAACGTCAGGTCACACAAGACAGGTATGTGATGACCTTACATGCATAAAATTGTGCAAGTTTGTAAACAAACCACAGGTGTATATATTAAAAAATAGAATCAGGTTGCTAGACCTTACCAGTGGTTACTGATAGGTGCCAGGATTTTAGGTGAATTCTACTGTTTTATATATTTTTACTTGTCTGTATTCTGTGACTCTTAAATGCAAGTATATTATTTTTATAACTAGAAAAATAAAGTTGTTTTCACTAAAATTCATATATATATATATATATATATATATATATAATTCTAAATATATTTTTCTAAGAGAACCCCAGTATTTTCAGTATGCTGATATAATATTTTTTATTGGGGGAAATTTAATTATGATGAAAAATAAATACTTAGGGGTCATTTGACAATAAGTATGTTTCACTGTCCCTCTACACATGTGTTTCTAAGTTCATCAAATTCATCTATTTGTTCTCTGGCAAAGTTCAAATACAAAAAATTGCAAGGGCATGAATTTTAGTATTTACTTCCCTGTACTCACAAGTACTTTGTAGCAGTCCCAGTGGGGTTGGAACAACAGCAAAGGAAAATCATGCCCCATTATACTCTCCACCTTCCCAAAAAAGGGGCACAACCAACAAACCCGAAATAATACAGAACCACACTGAAGCGCAGAGAATACTGTGGGCGCTCTCAAATGACAGGCTTGCTCTCTTCCTAGCCAGGTCTCACAGGTACCCAGGCTTGGGAATCCAACAGCTTGAATTCCAATCTGAGATCCATCACTGAGTATTAGTTATCTAATCTGGTATAGCATGTACCTCTGGAAAATGACAAAGATGTCCATGATTAGCTTAGGACAAATAACCTTCTGGCACTAGGTGCTGATAACCCAAAGAAGAGTTAATGTGAACTACACTAAGAAAGTCACAAATTAAAGTAAAAGCTCCGTTCAAAAACGGTCCAGAAAAAGCACACCAATAAAGAGGAAAGACAGTAGTAAGGCACTGTGATTAATGACAGGGCACTAAGCAGACTCCAGTAGCAAGAGTACTAGGGAGTTGGGAAGAAATTGAAAGCAGACCTGAAATCAGAAGGAGAAAGCTGATTTTAGGGAGAGCACATTACAGTCAGCTCAGAGGAAACATGTAGCTCTTCTATGGTTTCATTACAGATTGAGGTACAAATGGAACTCTGCTGATACTTCTCACCCAGATTTAGGATTTTATAAAATCTCAGAGGCAAGTGGGTAAAACTTACCTTGTAAAGGTGACTAGCCAGACTATTCCCAGAGCAGAACAACAAGAAGGGATGAACCTTGTCCAAAGAACTTTGTCTGGTAGGCTTCTGAGATGGTAGTAAAAGCTATAACCTCTTCACTTTGAGAAGTTCACGAAGACTGCCTTGTGCACACGTAATCACAACTCAAGAGAACCTGACTATGAGGCTAACCGGGCTGGTGGCAACAGATATTCCAATAATCTCACTGAGGGCAGATTACAAAAGGAGGAGTGCCAGAGCGAAAGCAAAGAACAACACGATTCTGTAAAACAGAGAATCCTAACAACTCAGGTTTTATTTTCTGAACACAGGAAAGGAATAAATCAAATGCTGTACTAAATGCACCTAAGTCTAAATGCTGTGGGTCACCCTTGTGCACAGCATGCAGCATTTAGAAAGCTCTGAAAACAAAGCATGCCAAAAAATAAACCCTGACCTGTGACCTGGAAAAACTCAAAATGTTTACTAGAAATATTAAAAAATTATAGTGGAAATTGAATCTAAAGCAGTAGCTCCACTTTTTTTTTTTTTTTTTTTTCCTGGTACGAGGGCCTCTCACTGTTGTGGCCTTTCCTGTTGCGGAGCACAGGCTCTGGAGGCGCGGGCTCAGTGGCCATGGCTCATGGGCCCAGCCGCTCCGCAGCATGTGGGATCTTCCCGGACCGGGGCACAAACCCGTGTCCCCCGCATCGGCAGGCAGACTCTCAACCACTGCACCACCAGGGAAGCCCAGTAGCTCCACTTTTGGGCTATTTCTCCTATTCATGGCTGTTGGAAACTCTGTCATGGAAGGTACTTAACTCTGAGTTAGAAAGATGGATGACTGCACATCTACAGTTTTCATTAAGCTTTTTTCTTTAAAGAAAAAAATAACATTGTTTCTTGATTATAGTAATATATCCTCTTGTAGAATATTTGGAAGACATAATGAAGTATGAAGACTATAAAAATCATCTGTAGTTCCACTATCCAGAGAAAACCACTTTTTTACATTTTTGGTACATTTCCTTTCACTTGTGTGTACGTGTACCTATATTTAAATCAAATTGTGGCAACTAAGACCCAACGCAGCCAAAAAAAAACAAAAAACAAAAAAACAAAACTGTGACCACAGTGTACATGTGGCTTGGGAGACAGCTTTTAAAACTTACTATATTTAATTAATTAATTAATTAATTAATTAATTAATTTTTTGCGGTACGTGGGCCTCTCACTGTTGTGGCCTCTCCCGCTGCGGAGCACAGGCTCCAGACGCGCAGGCTCAACGGCCATGGCTCACGGGCCCAGCCGCTCCACGGCACGCGGGATCCCCCCGGACCGGGGCAAGAACCCAGGTCCCCTGCACTGGCAGGCGGACTCCCAACCACTGCGCCACCAGGGAAGCCCATAAAACTTAACTATATTTTTAAAAATACTCCCTGCCATTAAATATTCTTCCACAACACCATTATTATTGTTTGTTGTATTGATGTTCTACAATTTATTGAACAATTTTCCTATTAGGTTATTTAAGTTGCATTTAAAATTTTGCTACTATAAATCATAGTACAGTGATAAATATATATACCTATATATTTTGCCTTTATCTCTGATTATCTCCCTAAGATAGATATCTGGTAAAACCACTGGAGCTTAATTTTTCAAGGCTCCTGATTCACACCGATAAAGTGATTTCCAAAAAGGCTGTACCAATATATATCCTACTAGCAGAGCCCTATCTGAGCCTTCCCACACTTTCATCAGCACTGAATATTATTCATAGATATTTTAAACTACAACAACAAATTATTTGTTGTACTAAACTTCCATTTTTTTTTTTGCTGTACGCGGGTCTCTCACTGTTGTGGCCTCTCCCGTTGTGGAGCACAGGCTCCGGACGCACAGGCTCAGCGGCCACGGGTCACGGGCCCAGCCGCTCCATGGCATGTGGGATCTTCCCAGACCGGGAAGAGATGCTATGTTTTATTGAGCGGCTACTTTGTGCCAGGAACTGTTTCCTCTAAGTAATATGTATGTATTATCTCATTTGATCCTTACAAAAACGCTTTGAGCCTAGGTACTGTTATCCCCATTTTACAAATTGACAGATTCAGAGATGTAGTAAGTGTTGGAGCCTCCATCCAACCCACGTGCAGCTCACCTACACCGCAATTCAGTGAGTGTATGTCCAACAATAGACCTGCGTGTCATAAAGAACATCTTCCTCCCAGTCTCTGGTGACATATTTCCAGTAGTTTTGTACACAATTGAACGTGGCATTGACCAGCTTATGTCCAGTGAGCATTCAAATGAGGCCAAAAGCATGCCAGTTGGGGCAGGCTTGGTGATTGCCATCAATTAAATTTGATACCTTAGCATTTTATCCACTTGGGATTTTTTTTTCTCTTTCCACCCGTTTTTATAAAGCCCATAAAAATATCTACATAGTTGTGCAGATGCTGCGAAACATTAAAAATGGCACACTGCTGAAACTGACCTGGTGGGCAGGCAGCACCTTTACGTGCTAAACTTAAAATGTTTCTCAAGTAGATGTGCAAAATGACGTGGAAAGCTGTTTGTGGTAGCAGTAATGTTCATGATTATGGATTGTCTGAAACAGTAACGACGCTGCATCCTTATTCTTTAACTATTCTCATGCCCTTCTTTTGGGTAATTTTACCTATCAAATGTTTTTTCAAACTCCTTTTCAATGCTTACCTATTTCAATCAGGCTGTGATTCTGCACTTTGCCAAAACCCTGATTATTCTTGTTGTTATACTATTCCTGCTTTAGATTCTCCGTGCTGACATTAAATTAGGAAAGGGTTCATCAATGAACCTTCTCCAACAAGTCCAATATCCTTCATCTCCTGAATCGTTGGATACTGTCTGTGTCACTTGATTGAATGCACTTTAAATCATTCTCCAGTGATTTATTTTAACCTATGTGATTCGTACTTTATGAGATTATACAGAAAGTTCTTTAGGATAAAACTTTTCTTTTGCATCCTTCAGAAGGCCTTATATTACTGTGTACTGTTTATTGTAGCTATCTAACACACTTTAGGTGAACTCATTAATGCCTCATAACCCCAGAAAATCATCATTCTTAAAAGAAAAGTTTATGAAAAGATTATTGGAATACCTTCCCTCCATTACACATAACTTATGGTTTCTGGGTATTTTAAATTTTTAAAAATCATTTATCTCGTATTATAGACTCATTGTATCTTATTTCAAAAATGGAAGTTTAGGGCTTCCCTGGTGGCGCAGTGGTTGAGAGTCCACCTGCCGATGCAGGGGACACGGGTTCGTGCCCCGGTCCGGGAAGATCCCACATGCCGCGGAGCGGCTGGGCCCGTGAGCCATGGCCGCTGAGCCTGCGCGTCCGGAGCCTGTGCTCCGCAACGGGAAAGGACACAACAGTGAGAGGCCCGCGTACCGCAAAACAAACAAACAAACAAAAAAACCCATAGCATCTCTTCTTGGTACACCACCACCAACACTACCACCTTTTCAGGAATATTCTACATTCAATATAAAGGCTGCCTGAAACAGGCTCTTGCACAAGAATGAAAAGTTTACTTTCTTGAAGACTCATTTGGCAATTTTATAAAGAATGAATCAGTATAGGAACAGAAATGGTTTGGAGAAAAGCTAAAAGTAGGTGTAGGAATCTGGATGTGACATAATTAGATCCTGGTAGTTGCGGAAACTAAAATGAAAGACAAAATTAAGCTTCTGCTGTGGAACAGAGCACATAAATCCCTCTTTTATGGCCTAACACATACAGCACTATTTGTTTAATCATAGCAGAAAACTACAATAGCCAGATGACTTAAATCTGGTTTATATAATTTCATACATATATATTTCATACACTGGCTCTGTACCATGGTACTGCAGTGACTGCCATTTTACTTGTTGAACTACCCTAATTCCCACTTGTCAATAAGCTAAAAAATACGGAGGAGCGGGCTTATTCACTGTGCTATACCTCAGGACCTAGCATAGTGTGGAGCATAAATTATAGGTAGGGCACTTAAATGTATGTTGAATGAAGGGCCGAGGTTCTGATCTTATGATAAAAACTGTTTTTTAAACACTGCTTTTTTTCTTTGGGTGTTCTAACAGACCCTAAGGATTTTTCCCCTAGGAAAAACAAAGCACAAATGTAAAATTTTATATATAATTTTTTGAATCATAGTTACCAGATTTAGAAGCCCTGCACTAGACTGTAGTGAATTCATGCTATGAAGTTTCTAGGTAAACAGCCATTTGGCTTCCCCTGACAAAATGCCCACTGGGACAGGCACTTTTTTCATTAAAACATATGCAGGTCCCAGGCAGGATGGGGTTTTACTAGTGTGCAGTGATATTAATGAGTAAGAGTACGTTAGTAAATGTCAATGGATTTATCTCAGCACCAGTCACTTTCCACAGTCACCAGATAACAAACATTTTCCATTTCATCTTCAGGGGATTTTTCCTTGCTTATTATATCAGTAGCGTATTCCCTACTGAATGGAAAAACCTGATCCCAAATCTACACCCATACTGTCCTTTGGGAAGTGTGGTCACTCTAAGTGTTATCTGGCTTTGAATTCCATGTCAAGGAACAGGATTGTCCTTTAGCAACTAAGTAGTTCACACTTGTTTTACAGCAGCCTCTGACATCTTTGTTTCATCTCTTTTCTCTCTTTTCCTTGACTGTGAATTCATTGAGGGCAAGGGCCACCTATTTCTTAGTCTCTAGAACTGGACTTTGCATGAATGGATGCCCAATAAATATTTCTGACCAACTGACAGACCAAAACACACTCCTTGCATGTGGTTCAGTATCATTACTACACTCACAGATGTTACATATAAGCTATCCCTTTATACATTACAGTATAAGTGCCAGAGAGTCTAATGAACACTAAAGCAAAATGCAACTACCAGGGGAAAACTGCAGAGTTACGCAGTAACGGCATGTCTGAAGTCGGCCATCACATACAGTTCTCTATAGTAACACTAAAATCAAAGACTTGAGCAGCGATTCTCTCCTCAATGTGCCTGCTCAATGTATCATTTCTTCGTAGTCTGCCTCTTATTATCTGTATTTGAGAAGGAAATTTTCT